ATGGAAAAATATTTTTTTTGTAGTATTTTTTTTTTTTTTTTTTTTTTTTTTTTTGCGGGGGGGAGGGGAAGAGGGCAGGCTAACGGTGTAGTTGGGATAGTTACATATGCTTTTGAATGCAAGATGTACAAATAAAAAGACTAGTAGAACCCCTTTTATGCCCTCTCACTCCAGCTATACATAAACCTACAGATACAAACCGTGAATACATGATTTTAAGAACTTGTAGAATTGCCACATTTTTTCTATGTTTGTGTCACAACATAAGACAAATGACTATACTTGAACACTTCGTGTTACATAACCTGAAATACAAACTGCCTAGATACAAGATCCAGAAAGAGATTTCCAAAGCAAATTCTGGCTCTGGGCCTGCTTCACTAGCCTCCTGAGGGACTGGTTACAGATATAGTGATAAGAAAGAGTTGTCACAGGGAACTGGAACTTGTGCAAGTCTTCCATGGGTCATGTCGGACATATGCTAAAACAAAAGATCTTGTACAAAGATCTTCCAGAACTGAACTGACTCAGGAGATACTTTAAAGTGTCTGTTAAGTTACACCAACTCACTTGGATTCTGTTTTTTTTTTGCAGTAGATAGAATCTACTACACAAGTTATATTCTTGCAGGAAACAGATAAATCAGTTTACTAGGCATCTCTGATTACTAGTCCTACAAAAAGATCTGTGCAGAGTATGGCTAAATACAGACATCCAAAAAGCCTGAGACTGAATTGATTCAATCTTTGCAGGTTAGTATAACCTGTGTAGATTGAACCAGCAAACAAGGGAACAGACATTCACCTTTGATTCTGGAAATGCAGCCACATGCCTGCGGTGGCTCAGGCTAGAAGCCGGAGGGCACTAGAGCAAGCTCTCCCTTCCCTTCCCGAGTGGCAAGGCTAAAAGGAAGCTGAGCTGAGTAAGGGGGCTGGGCCAGGCTTTGCAGGCCTGAGTATGATTGGGGAGGGGTTTAAACCCCCACCCTGACCTGCAGGGACCCCAGCCAGGATGTGCCTGGAGGTGAAGGAGAAAAGCAGCCCTTGCCAGGTTTTTGGTGGGGAAGTATGGCCAGACACCAGCCCTCAGCCAGATGACAGTGCAGCATGGCCCCCTAAGGGAAAGGGGGCAGGGAAGAGGTTTATTCCCCCTTCCTCCCCTCTCCCACTGGGGAACCCAGTGGTCTGCCTGGCTGGGGGTGAATGGCAGAGGTGACAGTCAGGGCTGACAGACTCCAGCTACAGTCCCTAAGTGGGAGAGGGGAGGGGGGAATAAACCCCCTCCCTGCCCCCACTGCCTCAGGGGGCCATGCTGGGATGGCATCTGACCATGCCCCGTCCCTGCTCCAGTTAGAGCGCAGAGGGGCAGGGCCAGCCCTGCTCCCTGGAGCAGATAGCACAGGGCTGCAGAACATACTGCAAGATGCAATTTGTGCTAAAAGCCACTCTAATGTCCTTGCCCAATGTGTGGCATCCAACACCTCTCATAAGATTCAAGTAAATTCATTTGCAATTCAATGTACAAACATCAGAAATGAAAGATTAATATTGTTACTCTATCTACTACTTAACCCAAAGAAGAAACCAGTTTGCTGCACAATTTCATGTGATTTATCAGATAAGAAAAGCCCCTGGAATTGTGCAGTCTTTTAGATGGAACAAGCAGCACAATAGCTGGTTAAGTTACTGTTTAAATACTGACTTAATGTTATGCAAAGGTGACTAAAACCATTCCAAAATTATTAAACAAACTTCAATACAAGAGTTGACATTCTCCCTCAAATTTACATATTGTCAACTCTAACATTTGCTTTATTTTACTACAGGCTATTAATCATTGCAACTAAAAAGCTGATATTTGAACTGCCAATTTTAAGACCTACCAAGTCATTTAAATATGTCAATAGACAGACTAATGTTTTGCCTACATAATCTTGTATCACTCAAGTCGTGAAACAGCCTGGAACAGGAGCACCTTCTAATGTAACGCCACACATTAAAAACTAAAATTAATTGCAGTAACTTTTGTACTGATTTTGAAAGCCCAAGTTCATTCCAGAGTTTGTCGTGTACATGACAGCAAAGACAATACTATAAACCCATTGTCATGACCCCAAAAATATCCCAGTGTTTCCCATTTCATTAAATCACTAAGATATTTAGAACCATTTCTTACATTCGAAAAAGACTGATTGGAAAAAAATCACTTCCTTGGTTTTGTCGTTTTAGTTCCAAAGCTAAGCAATCCCAGCTGTTCAGGAAATACCATTGTAATGAACACATTATTGAACATGGAAGAATCAATCGGGACTCCTGTCAAAGGTTTCACATGCAGCAAACAGCCCAGAAATCAAATTGGTGCTTTAGAAAAGTTCTATCTTATGAAGTAAAAGACATCTCTGCCATTTTATGACTTCATCACCTCCAGCACAAAACAGAATATAACTTAAAGGTCATCGAGCTGATTTTAAATGACAAGACACAGTAAATTGACTATATAACTTTATATACGCAAAACAGCACACTGCTCCTGGTTCTGAGAAATTATGAAATCCAAGTCAAGTTTTTATTTTCAACTACAGTGGACTATCCATTTCATTCTACTAAGTTTATAAGATAATGATGTCTCAGACAGGTTAGACTATCTCACCCCACTTGCTTTTTGGTTGTTTAGGGGTTTCCTTATTACTTTGTTTGGCTGACATTGCTTAAAACAATTTTCAAATGTCCAAGTGAAGTGCCTACCACTATGGTAATTAATTATGGTTATAGTCAACGGTTTCCTCTGGGCAGGCATATTTAGTATTTTAATTACTAGTGCAAAAAAAGCCTGTCCAGAAGGCTGGCAGGTTTGTGCTCATGCTGTACTGTAACAATTTTACCTTCCTTCCTTGACATAAACATTTCCACTGCTGAATGCCCATTTCCAGTGTATCAGTTCTTCCTTGAAAAAGCTCAGATTTAAAGTTAATGTTTAGTTCTTTTTCCATGAAATTCATTCCAAAATCTAGAGGCAAGCTTGCAATTCAAGGCTCAAAAATAAATGGGATTTCAGAAGTTTAAGAAGAAAAATTTAAACAATACTTAACTTGTATACAATGGTTATATAGTTTTTTCCACTGTTAAAATGAATAACATAGATGCTCGGCTCCCATGTCTTTTACAGTCCTCCCAGTTGAATGCATTGCATCATTCCTTGCAAATAGGCTAGAACTAGCACACCCTTTGCAATTATGTAGAGTTTTCCAGTCTTTGTTCAATGCCAGAAGTACCGTGCAACTGGATATCGCAGTGATAAACCTGCGTAGCAAGGGAAGGGTGCTGTTTTATTTCACCACCCTCTTTTTTCTGACTTCCACTGCAAGTACAGATTAGGAAAAAATAAACCTACCTAAAAATACACAAGGATCTAAAAAACAAAAACAAAAAACCCAAAACAAAACTAATGTTTCACAGCTTTCAGTAAACAGAAGTGGTAGATATCGTTTTTGGATAGCCAAAGGATCAAAAAAAATAATTAAACAAATGTGTTCTACACTTACACTTATGTAGATGTGTACGTGTCATATTTACATATATTAAGTCATTATAGTTTTAAAATGTTAGCTATGTTAAGTTGCATAATAAGTCAGATTACTTGGCTCACATGGTAAGAGATGTGGCTCAACTTTCTGGCTGTGTAGTATGGCAGTTTTTCTGAGAACCCTTAAACCTTTACAAAAGGTCCTGGACAGATAAGCAAGAGAAAATTAATAAAACCGCCTGGAGTAATGAAGAGCTGAACTATTTATAAGAACTCTAAAAACAAAACAAAAAAGATCTTTTACATAAAGTGTCCCTAACATATGGAAAGAGGCCCATGTATGATGTTATTTGTGTAATTATATACGAAAGCTAGAAGGTATTACCTGTAATACAGGAGCCCCAAGAATTCAACTTTTACCCAGGTTGTGCCTTCAGAGGCAGCACAGTGCTTAGCTTTATTGCAGCAATATTGTTAACCATCCCCTACAGCACCAAGGTGCCAACATTTAATGGTACAATACAAAAAAAACACCACATTTTCTTCTAAGCAAATGAATATTGGCTTGAGTGTACTTATAGGGAGAGAATGGAATCAAGGCACACCTATATGTAAGCCAACTGAACCCAAGACCTTGAGTCCCCAGATCAAAGTTTATTCTCACTTCTGGGTATGACTCACAACAGAAATCAGAACCTTTCCTAGGAACGCTTACGGTATGATGTCAGGCAAGTGATGAAGCCACTGTGCATATCATCTATTCTATTTGTGAGAAGGGGGGGGGGGAGTGGGGGGGGGGGGGCGCTTGAAGAGTTAAGATCAGCAGATTAAAGAATCCTACTGAGCAGCCACGCAGTAATTCATTACTGTTCATAACACTGTATACTTAAATGTGTGAGTGAGAATATCGGCATGACCATAGTACAGAAATGTTAAGTCGCAATTCATCAGGACATTCTTGAAGTTGGTAAAGGCAGAAGTACATCTACCAAGAATTAGTCATTTATAACAGACTCTTCAACAACAAGCCAGTTAGCACAAAACTCCTTTCAATAATAATGCACAAGTTACTGCCCTTCGTAATTTCATATTATGAATGCAAAAAGCAGAACAAACAACAAGCAAACAAAAAAGCTTTGCATTATTTGAACTGAAACAGAAATCCTTCAGAAAATGAAGTATTTTGAGTACAGTTCTTAATAGTAATTGCCTATCTGCAGGTCCAGCCATTATTTAAAATCAAGAGTAAAGTTTTTATTTGTTTAATTGATGAAACAAATAACCCCTTTCAAAATAGGCAATTTTTCAAAATATCACATCACTTGGCCTTTGGAAGAGTTGCATACATTTACCAAAGGGACACAGCAGGCCTTCATTAGTTCTTAGTGAGCACATCTACACAAGATGTTTACTCCAGAGCTGCCTAATTAGGTCTGCAGTAATGTCTCAGCATCTACACAAGTGGCCCTATTAGGCCGTAGGAAACTAATCAACTCCGCTGCAGGTTAGTACTTGTAATTACAAGTATTATCCTCTGGAAGAGTCCTTCAGTGCACAGCAATTCACATGTAGATGCTGATGGGGATGACTGGGGCACAAGGGTGCTTCAGTCCAGGGGCAGCCTGCCAGCTAGCTCTAGACTGGAGCACCCTCATGCTCCAGCCAGCCTCTCCACAGCACACAGTGCCCAGACGGAGCAGCCTCAGGCTGGCAGGCTGAGACCCCCAGGGCCCCCGACAGCCAAGGCTACTCTGACCTGGCTCAATGTGCTGCGGTCCCAGGTGCACATGTAAACGCAGTGCCCGGGAGCAATAAACTCTGGAGCGATACGAGCCAGAGTTCATTGTTTCATGCTAATAGTACATGTAGATGGTACCCGGTGGTTCCTAACCATATTTTAATCATCTTTACAAAGGGTTCAGGGAAATTATCTCCTGGACTAGGCTGCAATTCACCATCTTAAACAGTTTGAACCTCATTTAAGTCATACATACTTCATTAGTACTGACTTAGTATCTAATATAGTAAAGTCATTTTTAGTACTTTAGCATCTTAACCCACTGCATGCATTAATAGTTGTGTGTATAGTGGTATAAAAAGCCACCAGGAACATTCAGAAGTACCAGCTACCAGATTAGGAAAACCCAGATAATGACACCAACACAAATGTAAGCATTAATATTAAAATTGGGTTCAAGCCATCTCTGTGAAGTATATTTTGAAAGATTTAATTTCTGGATAATTGTATGACTTGCTTCACCAGATAAAATATTTCATGCACAGCCTAAATCTAAAATTAATTTTATCCTCCTTGACTCTTTGGATCTAATCCTATAACATTTTGTTCTCAAGGAGATTTCTATTTCATTGCATCACATTTACATTTTTAATGAGCCAATTCTTAAATTTGTATTTCACATACCTTTTTTTTTTCTAAGCAAGCTGCTTTGATACCATGCATCTGAACAGGAGATACATGAAGAATAACTCAAAAAACTTGCTAACAGTAGTTTAGACCTTTCGGTTGTTCATTGGCTCAAGTCTTAGGAGTTTTCTTTTTAAATGGCTCAATTTTATACATTAAAAACTGTACAGTGGGGAGAAATAAAAAAAAAAGGCATTTCAATTACTACAGAATTTAGGCCAGCATTTTCAAGAAACTCCAGTGAAAGGCTCTCAAATTAAAATCTGTTGAATGTGTCACTTAAAATTAACATCAAAGTATTTTAACAGATGTTTTAAACACACCCTAATTAAATGAGTACAAGCACTATAATGAGACCCTTATGTTGATATCACATTCTAAAAATGCCCATATCATCCATAGTTAGAAAGCATCAAGTTAAAATGTTATTATAGGTTCAAACCACATGAAAGACCTGATGCCTTATTTTCATGAGGAGCACAAAAGAAGAGATACTGAATATCCTCCTCTCCCCCCACAAAGCACTTCCGCTTCTACAGTGTCTTCCTGGAGATGTCCGATTTCACAAAACCGTTCAGATGGACAAGTCCGCAAGATATATTCTTCTGATAAACTTCTGCTAGACCTTTAAGTCTTGCTTTCTGTGCCCAATCCAGGTTTTGAAAAACAAAACAAAACACAAAATAAGTTTAATTCAGAATTTCAAAATGCTGTTGACGAAAGTCTGACACCAGGCAGCTTGATGAACTCAACAGGAATTCCTTTAGAGACAAGCTGTAAGCGCACTACTTCAAAAGATCCAGAAGTGTATTTGAACCTCTAATACACTGGTTCTCAACCTTTTTTGGACAAGGACCCATTTGTAAACATCGATGGCCAGTCTCAACCCAGTGCCCCTCACTTCTGACTTGCTGCCCCCCACCCCCAGGTCTCAGCCCCTCAGTGTGTGGGGCATAGGGGGCCCCAAGCCGCCCCTTGCAAGCTGGAGCTCTGCCAGCCTGCAAGGGAAACGCCTCAGTTTCCCACATTTTTCTCCTCTAAAGGAGAATCCATTTTCAAAGTTTGTTCACAACCTTTTCATATATTCTTGCGACCCACTTTTGGGTCATGACCCACAGGTTGAGAAGCACTGCTCTAACAGATAGTGGGTAAAGGAGCAAGCTCCCTACCCACACTATTATTTCAAAGGGGAACAGACATAGAAGCCAGACACCCTTTACTGGGGACTCTAAGAACATTGAAAATACTGCTATTAGCTAATGGGATATGTTAGTCAACTTAAAGCATGCAGTAAGAAAATATTTTGAAGCATTTGGAATACAGAGATTTTATGTATTAGGGCAAAAATGTTCACCCAAACGTATCAAGAGCAAAAAGTGGAAAACAATGAGTAGGAAGAGTACAGGCAACAAACTGGACACATGTTTATTGTGTAGGTTTTCAGATTGGGTAAGCTTCTTTGTTACATTTCTGTGAATGCCTGAGATAGGCTGGGCTAGGACACAAGACATGTTAGAGAGGCCCCAAGCAACAAATTCGGAAGAAATGGACTCCTAAGCTTTCCTTAGATATGCTTCAATACTTGAAAACAGATTTTATTTCAAAGTATGCTGCTAGTTTCAGAGCTTGATGCAAAGTAACACAAGTCAGAGTGCATTGCTACTGCCATCAGCAGAGGGCATCTGAACTCAAGAAGGGAAATGTTTTAGTTGCATCCTTTGTGGTGACATGAGAAGTCTCAGCCCACAAGTACCAGGCTACATTTCCCCCTCTAGCTTGAGAACTTCAGTCTTCCAACATGTTTGTCAACTCTACATTTTCACATCTGTATTTGGATATCTACCGTTCAGATGCTACTAAGGTGGTCTGCTGAGAATTCACATAATATACATGGTGCTTCATAGTTATTAAGATTATTTGGGCAATTTCTTCCTACCGAGTCAGTTCTACAAGTGTTCTGATAGGTAAGTGAAAACAGGGAAGAAAAAGCAGTCTATAATGGTTTTCTAATACCTAATCTTCAAAAGGCCGTTTTCTATTTTGTCTCAACATGTCAGTTACATAGCAGTGCAATAGTCCTACAATGCATAAATGCGGGACCCATTAACTTCAATAAAAGTAAATCTCAAACCGTATTTCCTGTAAGTAAGGCAAACAACTTGTCAAGCACATTGCAGGTCTCAGGTAATAAAGCCAGTAACAGATTCTGATTTACATCCCCACTCAAAACATCTAATGAATTGTGCACAATTTAAGAGACAGTGACCTTTAATGCATTTAAAAAGTCAAATACTTAGCCATCTTTCCCCAAAGATCATTAGAAATAAAGTAGTCCATTCCAGTTGCCTGCTTTAGTTTAAAATTGCTTTGCTCATTTCCCTTCCCATGATGAAAAGGTTTTAAGCAACCAGTTTTTGTTATAAACTTACAGTAAAAACAAAAGAAAAAGCTTGATGGCTTAAACTGTGATGGATTAACTATAA